CTTTCTACTGCTACTCCTTGGCTCCTCCTTACTGCTGTCTTTCTGCCACACCCCTGATCTTCTGGTAGGAAAGATCTACACCTAGCTTTCTCGGACAAGGGCGGAAAATTTCGGAGGCCCCGTGTGCAAGTTGCGCTCGTTAAAGATCCCTTGGTGGTCTAAAATCAATAAAGCGTAGGCTTCGGCCGCCACTCGGGCAAAACTGTAAAATTTCCAACCTACTGAAAATGTTAGGAGTGTTCCACGCGCTCACATGACCTTATTATGCAGTTGCGAGCACCGTAAAACACTTACCCAAGAAATAATAATAATAAAGTCAAGCACGGCAGCTTTTGCTGACGTCAGAGGGCCAGATCTGAGCAGACGTGACCTATTTAACCACTGTCTGGTGACGTCACGAATTCCAGATTCTTCCAATTGTGTCCATTTATTGACAGATTTGATCAGGTGATTTATGGCATGCCTTTTTTGTTTGGGTTTTTTTCCTTGCTTTTTTAGGGGGGGGGGGGGTAGTTACGTATTTCCTGAAACTATTTTTGCTGACGATGCGGAAATATTTCTTCTTAACTCCGGGCTGTTATCTGTACGGGAAGGCTTGGCGGAGGTCACACATAGATCTACAGACATTGACGACAGTTGCAGATTTTGTCTTAATCGGTCAGAGAATTAACAGCTGACGGTGACGGGATTCGCCGCACGTCACAGCCCTGGTCTGCTGGACTGTGTGCCAGTGAGTCTGTCTGTCTGTCTGTCTGCCATCACGCCCCAGTGGAGAGAGGTCAGAGGAGTCAGATTGCCAGAGTCAGCTGAGAGAGCAGACGTCCAGGTGACTGTGTGTCCACTGTTGGTACATTGTGTGTGTGTTCACTGTTGGTATATTGACTGTGTGTTCACTGTTGGTACATTGTGTGTTCACTGTTGGTACATTGACTGTGTGTTCACCGTTAGATCTACATGTAGTACTGTATATTGCTGTATGTAGAACAGATCTATGTTCGCGACCTAAGAATTACAAAGTTCTATCTACTCAGTACCTACTTGTGAGAAATTTGACGTCCAAGGTTTTGAGTTTCGCATCATGTCAAGCTTTTTCCAATACAATTCTTTGAATATCTTGGAAAAAACGACTCTGAATATTCTTCGATTTTGAAAGAGCAGAAGGAGAATGTCTGACCTCATGGTCTCAGAAACTCCCACCGGGGAGGCAGGTCAGATGGAGCTTTGTAAATGGGAGGGGGGGGGGGGGGGAGGGACTGTGAGTAGACTGTAGGGTGGCTTGTGACGTGGAAAGATTTTGGTTTGTGTCGTGTGTCGTGTGTTGTGTGTCGTGTGTCGTGTGTCGTGTGTCGTGTGTCATGTGTTGTGTGCCGTGTCGTGTGACTGTGTGGAAGGTAGGAGGGAGAACGGGCGTATCTCCAACTACGACACTTATAGAAAGACGAGGTGTGGAAAGTTGTGCAACCAGACACAGATGGGCCCACCAGGGCGGTGCTGCTGACTGAACTTGTATATAGGCCATTCCCGAAGGGGGGATAGTAACATGTTCTTATGCACAGTAGAATTGTAAATGGGCTGATTTGTCAATGTCATGCTCATACTGTGCCGGAACAACATAGGGGGAACTGCTATTTCTTTCTCTACTTTTTTGTATGTTTGTCACTCTCTTGTGACCCGCTATTTCCAGGGTGCCTTGATAGTCGAAGCAGACATTGTGCTGTTGAATCTAGAGAGGTGAGCAGAGTAAGTCTGATTCCCTGTAAGGACTTCTCTGTTGACATCCACCCCTTGGCGCTCATATGACCTTATACAGTTGCGAGTCCCGTAAAAATTCTACTAAAACTGAAATACACCGCTGGGACGATATATCTTTGTGTCCCAAAACGTCCACCTGTTTATGAGGCCGCTGCCACAAGAATGTGCAAAGTTTGGACACATCTCAAACGTGAATCACTCAAAGATACAAAACCAACCCTGCCTGGTAAACAATTACTTTACCGTGCTGCAAGGGGCGATCAGCCTGTACACTTTCTTACTTGTTTAGGCAAAACCAGCCCGCAGATACACACTCACTCACACACGTTCCCGGTGTCTTCCATCCAAACGCAACAGTTCTCACGTGGTTCAATATGACGAGATCAGTCAATGAGTTGGAGTTGGAGAAATGTCATTTTAAAAATGTTAACCGACACGGAATTTTACCTTGTCCGAAGTTTTGTGGAGATGTTGTCCAACGGTGACCAAGTCATTGGCCTTTAAGTAGGTCATCTGAGTTTGTAGACTTCCGGTAAGTTCAGAATGGGAGACTAAAGTTTATTATTGCCACTTGTCTGCCCC